ATGTATGTATGTATGTATGTACGTATGTATGTATGTATGTATGTATGTATGTATGTATGTAATGTACGTATGTATGTATGTATGTATGTATGTATGTATGTATGTATGTATGTAATGTACGCATGTCTGTATGTATGTCTGTATGTATGTATGTATGTATTTATGTATGTATGCATGTATGTGTTTATGTATGTATGTATGTATGTATTCAAGTAACTGTAATAATTACACACATACATACATACATACATACATACATACATACATACATACGTAGAGACACTGTATTCCTAGCTTTTTTTATCTGTGTATCTGTTTATCTATCTATCTCTCAATCTAGCAATCTACCAATCTATCTATGCATCCTATCTATCTATCTATCCACCCATTTTATTAATCTGTCTATCTGTCTATGTATCTATCTATCTATCTATCTATCTACCTATCTATCTATCTATCTATCTATCTATCTATCTATGTATCTATCAGTCTATCAGGATATACATACAAAGAAGTGTATATATATATATATACTGATTACATACTCTTAGCAAGAGAGACAAACAAACCTGGAGACTCAGCCGACAGGAGCTTCTCAGCTGCGTAACGCAGAGCTGGATCTAGCCAGAGCACTTCCCCCGAAACGGTATATCCATATTGCACAGCAGGTCGATAGGAGGCTCCCCGGATCCCCTTCCGCCAAAAAGAAAGCAAAGCTTCCTAAAACCGCACAGGGTGCGTGTGTGTGTGTGTGTGTGCTCGGGGTCCTAGGGATCGAAAAAGCCATATTTGCCTCGCATCGGGCGAAAGAAGGCTGTAATTGCACTTATATATATATATATATATATTAGTGCAAACCGCAAGTGCCTAAAATGCGAAACGACACTTTCAACTTCAGTAAGCCGTAAACCGGCTGGAGTTTTTGCTGCGTGGTTCGCATGACTAACTTTGGCATGGCGCGGCATGTACTTCTTGTTCCGTGGTTCCAGCAAGGTCGGGATGTGAAGGGATTCAGTGTCTGGTGTTGGTGCTGCTATTGCGGCATGTGGTCTACACAATTTCTTTCTGCTGCAAGCTTCGAGAACGGCTCCAGCTCTGCATGCAACGGACGATGTCAAGCGTGCCGAAAACGGGACTGCGCCGAGAACGGGAGACGCGAGAGGGGGAGAGAGAGCGAGAGAGAACACACCCACACACGCAGACACACACACGCAGACACACACACACACACACACGCAGACACACACACACACACGCACACCCACACACACACACACAGACACACGCACAGACACACACACACACACACAGAGACACAACACACGCACGCACTTAGAGCAAGAACGCTTCAAGTGCCCGAGCATGGCGTTCAGGACCACGTGGAATGATTTGGTCGACCTAAAGGATTGAAGGAGTGGAGCGTTCTGGGGCTCAGTTTCCACCCTTCAGCCATTGCCAGGGGATGGTCTGCAGATTTCGGTTAGGAGGCTTCAGAGACCCTGACCCTAAACCCTGAACCCTAAACCCTAAAACCCTAAACCCTAAGCAATGAAGGCCTGAGGCCCTGAGCAACAAGTTTGCTTGCAGTGGAGTGGACCACATGTGTCAGCCCTCTCCAGACGGTTCCTGCTCACTCTCGCATGGGCTCGTCGCGCAAGTGCCTCAACCTTATACCCTAAACTCGAAGCATCAACCACATTGCCGTTATAAGTCTTACGCCAGAAAGTCTACAAACTGCAAATGCCCAATTCGTAGACTTTGCAAACCCAGCACGACAGCCCTCAGTGCCCCTAAATCCCGGAACACCCTGAAAATATAAAGGTTTACCACGGCAAGACTTGCACACCCCCAAGCCCCAAACCACACAAACTCTCAATCTAAATCCATGCTCCAACCCCACCCTCCCCCATTTCCGAGCTTTTGGGGCGCACGGGCGCAGCACCATGCGCCTGCGTGGGCGCTGCGTTTGGCCAGGCTCTGTGACGTGCATTTGAGAGTTCGCAGTTCTTGGAGTTCCGAGGGGCCCAATGCCCCTGCTTGGCCAAGGCAAGCTATACCCACAGGCCCCATAGTAGTTCCTTTTTGGGGTTCATATTTGGAATCCCATAAGGTAATCCCAAACAGGAGCTACTA